GTCTGGTTTGGCTTTCACTAGCTGCTGCATCACAGTAAAGGGCAAGAAACCCTTTGGATGCCTTTCTTACGTTGAAAAGTTCCTTTCTTTCAGTGGATAAATGTATGGCCTGAAGTGTGAGCCTTTGTTCTTTCTAAAAATCTTCAGTCTTTTTAGCCATGGATGTTAACGTTAATGCAGTGTCTAGTCCTTCTTGAATCCTCATAAGCTTTTTGTCAAATCAGTATAATGTGACAACAAGCCCTATACAGTAATCTTGTACTGTGGCTAAAACAAACAAAGAAACACCCCAAAATTCTTGTTTTAAAATTAGTTGTCTTTGATTTTGTTGAAAATCTCCTTGCTCTTTTTTTTTTTATTAAGAACAACTACCTGGCACCAGACAACTCGCCTCGTGTTAGCTGTAACTTGTGATGTATTAACCCTGCCTTCCGTTGTTTGTATTAAAGTAAATAGCCCCAGTCTCTGCTTTTCTCTGCTTATGTGGAAGATTTTTATGTATGGTTTTTGAGATGGGGGTGATGAGCCCTGTTGGTGTTAATCTTAACATTCCTTCTGAAAGGCCAGTAGGTTCATTTTTATTTGGGAGGGGCTAGCCTTGATTTTGGCGTACAGAGGAGGTGATTTGGGGGCGTTGTTAGCCAATCTCCCTGCCTTTGGAAGTAAGGAAGCTCTCTGGAAAAGGTGTAGCTACATCTCGTACAGTGGCAATTGATTTCCACTCTTAATAATCCAGTGGGCTGGCTAACATCCCATGGTTGCATAGCCATGTTAACAAATTCCTCGCAAAACTATAGCCCAGCTAGTGCGTGTGTGTGTGTGATTTACCCCCCCCCCCCCCCCCCCCGCCGCTCACACTTTTTTTATTTTTTTTTTAAAGCAGGGCAGGACCAGAGGTGTGTTGTGATGGTTTGACTAGTGGTAGGTTGTTAAAATGTACTGGTGTGAGTCACAGTTGTGCCATGGGTTGATCTGCATGCAGAGGTTTCATTCGTTGCTGCCATTTTGATGTTTCTGTGCCATCCATTTTATTTTTGCCAGGTTAGACTTATTTTTCCAAGCTGTTGAACAAAGCACAGATTACATATCCTCTGTGTTACAGTTATGAAAAGCCCCCTTGTTGTGGATTGCATAAGAATTATGGAGCATGTAATCATTTAATCTATCCTGGAGGTACACAGAAAGAAATTAATACCATTTTTATTTTTTTCCCATAGAGAGAGAGAATGTCCTTTAGGAGTGCTTTATCATAACTATGTGCGCATTTTATTATGTGACTGTAGCTGACAAAACTTTTTTTGTTTCTGAAAGATTCGCGCTTTTTCCTGTGTTTGTGCCTGCAATTTGTCCAGTAACTTTTGGAAGTAGAAGTAAATTCGCTGAAGCCTTCAGGAAAATCCAGTAGTTACATTTGAGTTTATTTTGAGCATCTTTAATTCTCATGTGGTTAGTTTTGTGTTTCTTAAAATTTCACGTTTACGATTTTATGAACAGCTTCTATTGCCTGGGAAACAGCAGACTTGCTGAATGCACCATTGGAGTGAAGTGCAGGGCTGGTTAAGATGATTCTTTTAAAGATTTATTTTCATGCATATTACCTGATGCAGAATAGGTATTGAAGTGCTTTCATTCAGGACCAATGTAACTTGTTATTGGGGTTTACAATTACTAACAAACAGGATTAATTATAGGTGCTGTATGTGCCTGGCTTTTAAGCGGTAGTCCTACTATGAATGCATTACATTTGGTCAATTAAGTAATGTAGTGGAGGTGAAGACTGTTTATGCAGTTGTTTGTTAGTAACACTACAGCAAGTTGCCTTTCATGCTGCGTTGCTCTTTGTAACATCTGCCATATATTTTTCCTTATAATAGCTCAATGAGTTGTAAGATGCTGTACGTAAAGCAAAAACAAATTCTAAAGCTTGTTTCATCCCAAAGCAGCAGAGTCATTGTCTGGATACAGTAGAAATAATTTGGTGTTACAAATACTTGTTGGGATGAAATAAATTTGAGTCAACAAGTTATTACTGTTTTGTAGGATTCTAAATTACGTGAATGGATAAATGCGTATTAAAAACCCACAGAAGATTACGTACAGGCCATATCATTTGTTCAGAGGAGCAGAAAATTCAGGAGAAAATGTGATCTCTGGCTTTTTAAATATAGTCCAAGTAAAAAATGCTGCTAGAACATTACATTTAAAAGTGCACAGTTTGCAAAGTTATATTTGTTGATTTGTGGTGGGTTTTTTTTATGGCCTCCATTTTTATGTAATGGATTTGTTTGCATTTAGGCATGGTATGGGAGAGAAATTAAAAGCGTGTTATCACTTCAAGAGGGTAACTTGTCAGCAGAAGGTGACAAGGAAGAAGAATACAATGAGCAGGTAACGTGAAAGAAGTGGGGGCGAAATGTGTTTTATTACATCGCTGTGCTTTCCTCTGAGCTGCTGCTGCATGAAGAGGTATTGCTAAGCAGTCTTTGCATGGGGATTTTCGTTGTGGCATTTGTAGTGCAAAATATTGTTTAGTGCCTGAGCAAAGTAAAATAACCTCGGTAAAAAGTGCAATTACATCAGCCAAAGAACTAGAATTAAAAAGGGGGGAGCACTCTTAATTGTTTAGATTCCTCTTCGTGTTGCTCTTTATAATTCCAATGCCGAATAGCATGAAAATGGTCTTGACCGAGGAGGAAATATTCTTAATGAATGATATTCTTAAAAATGCAGCAGTCGATTCATACGGTGTATTTATAATTTTGTGCGTTTTGACCTTTTCTCAGAAGAAGCAAAAAGAGATTGCATATCTAAGTAACAGACAAAAAGACTGACAAGGAATACTTAAATATATTCTGCTATATATCTGCAGTAATGCAGGCTTCTAATCCCTCCTCCTATCTCCATATAAATGATACAGTTCAAGACCATAGCTGTTTTCTTCACTAAAAGCAGTAAAGCTCTTTTAGATGAAATGTCTAAAAACATCTTGTAATAACTTGGAGCATGCTGGCAAGAGTAGTCACTTGTGACTATGTGTGAAACCCCCTCAGCTAGTCGATATTGTAATAAGCAAAAATGGTAGCATCACTCCATTATTCAGAAAAGCCAACAGCATGCTTGTCCCTTAGGCTACAGCATTCATTAAGAAAAGCTTACTGGGCTGAAAGCTGGAAACAGATGATAACGGGATATGATTTTCATATTTAATGCATTCCTTGGAAGAGTATGTGTGCTGCAGATTGATAGAAGAATCAACTGCTACTTTACTAAAAGACTTTCTAGTTTGCCCTATAGCTACCGATGGAATCATTCAGCCAAGAAATTAACTTTTTCTCCTTTTACCTGCTTTATATATCTGCTAAGCAGGCTGCCTGGCTGCCAGTAAATGTTATTATGCAGTTAAATGTTTGGTATTTAAGACTCTTATCAGAAAAGAAACAGAGGCCACACTATTTTGTTTTTATAGTAGGAGGAAGGTTTTCGGTTTTCTTTCTTCAGTGCATTAGCAGTCGTTAATCTGAGTTTATAGCAAGTTTTCCCCATAGATTAAAAAGTTAAAAACCTTGAATTTAGAGCATTCTTTAAACTGTAATATACAAAGCAATGAACCCGAGCAACCTTGACCTATATAAGCAGGCCTCCAGCAGTTTGTGAATTAACTTTTTAATTCAGATGAATGTGAAAAGGTAAGTCTATTTTTGAATGCTAGATTCTTCAATTAAAAGCAGTCAGTGTAGGAGACGTGACTTCTAACCTATGGAAAAGTTTACATAAATACTAGAACATCAAAGGCTCATGGTGTGACTTTTTAAAAACTGTTAGGAGGTTTTGGACGGTACAAGAAGTTGGTGCGTACCCAAACATGTCACTTTATGTTGAATTACAGTTAATAGCTTGATTGTGGGCTCTTTCGTCACCTGTCCCCTTCTTTCTCCTTCTCATCTCCCTCCTTAAATACAAAGTCAACTTCAACTAAATTGTTCATCCTTTTGCCTTGTCTGTGCTGTGTCTCAGATCTTTCTCTCTTTTTTTTTTTTTTTTGCACTGATTGTTCCCATTTCTCACCACCTTCACCTCACTTAAAATCTGCTTATTCTTATGTCAAAAATACGAGAGTGTTCTCAGCAATGTGGCACTGAGTCTGTCATAGCGAGCACGTGTGGTTTGCAGGTGGTATATCCAGGATGCAAATCATTACAGCTTGGAACTGGTTTTATCTACCAGCACTGGTATCATACTGGTTTCCTTCAGGCTAGTCAGGATGCCAGTGATTGTGTGATAACTTCATCAGTTGTGCGTCTTGGAGACCAAGAAGGACAATCGCAGAACCAGTCTTGTAGAGATGGTCAGTATCCCACTGCCCCTAAAACACCAGTGTGAATATCTGGTACTTCTCTGAATCATGGGATATGCATCCTTTTGGACCCTCAGTTTTTATGGGAGTCTTTAAGCTCAGAAACCATATACCCAAACAGCGTTTGTCTAGAAAACCATGATTCTCCATGGAAAAGACTTGAGTACCAGTCTTTTTTTGAAGCCCAGCATAATGACAATCCGGTGTTACAAGTTGGAGGAGAGGTCCCATACTAAAGATGTGCTTCTTGACTGGCACAGCTTTATAACCTGGGCTTCTGAAACCTTTGTGCAATGAAGTCTGTCTTCAACTTTGAAGCACTTTCTTGAAGTCTTTTGAAGACTGTTTTGGACTTGTGCATCTTGGCATTGCCATGTCTGGGTGACAGAGCATCCTTCCCTGAGAAAGGGGCTGTCACCAGGGATGAGTAATGCCTGGCGCCTGGAAAAGACAAGCCTCTGGCTTGACTTCACCTCCCTAGCTTTCATGTGGTCGTCTACTGTCAGGGGAGATGGGACCCTTTTGTAAGTCCTAATGGAGAGGGGGGTTTTTCTTATCTTTGTTCTCTTCAAAACACTTTACTGATAATAAGAAAAGATTGTATTTGTTACTGGAGGAAGAAGTGGGGAGCCTGCACTCCCAAATTCCTACAATCCCAAAGAGGATTGTAAGTGTGCTTTGTGCAGAGACTTTCTTTAACTCCTAGCTGGAGTGACGTGAAGTTCAGTAATCTTGTAGACTGGTTTAGGTAAGTCATCTACGTGTTTTTACTGGTTTGGTTTTGGTGGTAAAAACAGTACCTAGACCAACTTTTATCTTTCATACGTTTGCTTTGAGAATGCAAAGGCAGTGAAGAGATTATTTTTATTTTTTTTCTGCGATCAAAAGAGGATCTTGTTAGAGACGTGTGTCTGCTATGACTCTGCCAAGCACTTGTACCTGTTTGAATTGCACTTGTTTTGGAACACTACATCCAGGAGCTGTTAAATCCATAAAGTACTTGCTAGATGCATTTTAAAGCAGCAAATTTAAGACCCGAAAACTAATTAGGAGGAACCCGAGAGCAGTGGTGATGGAATAAGCTGTGAACTTAACCTGAGTAGAAAACCTTTACTCCTTAAAATAACTTCATGGCTTTTTGTTCTGCTTCTTGTTATGTGGAATTTGAGCTTTTTAATGAAACTTGGTCACAGACTAGACAAGATGCCTTTGTTTGCCTTAAGCTGGGCTTGGCAGCTGACTGTGTATGGTAGGAAGAGGTCAGGCAATGAAAGAGAGGAGAGAGGTGTGGAGGTGACTGTAAATTGTCCTGCTGTGATTTGGGCCTGAAAAGTAAGCCCTGCTTAGTATGAACAGTGGTATTACGATAGCTAATTTTGGCTTTGCATAAACTGGTGGTGACCTTTTAGTAGTAGTGGTGGCAGTAGCCACTCCTCCTAAATTGTTCAGATTGAGTAGGTTTACAAAGAAAAAAAGGCAAGTATTAAAATACTGGGATTTAGAAGCAGAGTGGTTATAGTGTTGGAACTATTTTTATGCAAGTTCAACAGTTCTTGGAGGAAAGTGCCATTTAAAATGTTTCTGCTCGGTGCCCAAAGTTGCCTTGTGGAAAATGCAATTTCATCTATGTGGTGTTAGCCAAGTAGTCGTTCTTCTTCTTTGGTGTGATTTAACAGACAGGAAAGAGCAGAAGTTAGACAATGAATACAGTGATTTTTTTGCCTCATTCTTACTTGCTTTGTTGACACGATGTGAGCAAAGCTGGGTATATAGACAAGTAAGTGATGGCAGATACACGTTTTAGACTCTCCAGGGACGCTTCCTCATGCCGTTGCCTCCTAGAGAAGACCGTGAGAAGAGCGGCAGGAGGAGGTTGCTCAGAGCCGCTGCTGTGGGTGCCTCCAGAAAGGCCAGCATTTGCCATGGTGGACGCTGCAACGGGGTCCTAATGATCACGTCTTTGCTTCGAGATGCTGCGGTACCAAAACCACAGGCTGCCAGCGGCTGTATGGAGTCATACACAAGTAGAGTACGATGGTTCCTCTAGAGTCAATAACTTCAAGGCGTTTTCAGTGACTTCGGTGGGTAGCTCTAAACGTCGTGCTTTGATCCAGGGTCTTAAAAACCTTTGCAGGAATCTAATCTTAAAGGTTTACCTGTTTGTAAAAACCAGTTACCGTTTAGATTAGTTTGAGTCCTTTGTGTGTGTCAGTCCCTTTTAGTCGGGTTGGGGCTGCAGTGCACTTTTGCCACCAGTTGTTTTGGCTCCTGGAGCCTCAGTTGAGGTCCAGGCCCTCGTTTTCACACTAGGATGCAAGAAATGCGTGCTGAGTGTTTGTGTAATAATAAATAAATACTACTACTATAGAAAATACTTGAATTCCGTGACACTTTTCTCTCCAGAAACCAATATGCCATCCTCTAGAAACTCCCATTTGCAACATGCTGCCTGTTTGTTTCCTTACGCCATCTCCCACCTGTGTTTTTCAGATGTCGCAGGTTGGAAGACAGGCAGGAATCAGCACCGAGACAGCTGTGCCAAGAGGACTGTATCATCCAGCAACAGTCTTTATGGGCTGCCACACATCAGCAGTCTCAGCCGCTGGAGCTTTGGGCATGCAACAGAAACCCCCCCAGCCCATAGAGAGCTGCTCGATGCCTGACCCGCCTTCGTGCTCTCCATCACTTGAAGGACTTTGTCCAGAGAGCAGAAGCGCTGATTTAGAGAGTGATGCATCAGTGGAGGGAGCAGCAAGACTCAGGGACCTGGCTGCCAGCAAGGAAGGCTCTGAGCAGCTCGTCTCCTCAGCATCTGATCCCAAACCAGCCACCTTTGAGGAGGAACAGCCGTGGGGAAGCATCCCAGGTACAGCAGGATGCGTGCCTGTCTGCCTCTGCCCAGTGCTGGGGCACACTCATCCCAACCAGAGTGATGGCCATGGCTGCTGGTTTCTCCTACACCTGTTGCACTGTGGTTGAAGCATGATGGCACTCTATTATTTTTATTCCTCCCCCCCTTTTTTCCTTTTTTTCTTTTGACTCTGTTTCCTGCCAGGCCACTCATCTGGACAGGCAAGGGCTTACTGGAGGCTGATCCTGTTCAGGTTTGCTGTTAGAAAGTGAAGATTTCCTCACTGTTGTGCCCACAGTTGTCTTGAAGTAGTCTGAACCTCATTTTAAGACATTTAATGTGAACCTGCTTCACTGGAAGAGTTTCAGGTTGATTTCCTTGTTCTTCGGACACTTGTGCACAGTAGTTCATTCATTTCCAAAACCATGATTTGGCAATGTAGACTGAGGATTGGTATGTCCCTGTATGTGGCTGGATTAACTCGTACTTGGTGGTAGTTCTCCGCCTTGTTCTCTCACCTTTCCTGAGAAAGGTGGGGCAGACCCTCCCAGCTGAGATACTCTTGCTCTGGGATGGGATATGCTGCCCTTGAAGGCTGCATTGCAACTTCTTGTTCCTCTTTTTTTTTCTTTCTTTTTTTCCCCATCTTGGCAAAATGTGTTCACTCCTGTTTTACTGGGTTCTTTGGTTACTTTGAAGTAAGTTAATGGACTTGTTTTTGAAGTCACAGTGACAAAGATTTGTTGCTAAGTAAGAGTTTATTCCGTTTTTAAGACCTTGCAGGAATATTCTTCCCTGCTTTGCCAGTTAACATAGCAATTTTCAACTTAAACTAGTTTTCCAAGCCCCATAACAGTTGCTAAAATGGAGCTATTTATAATGGAAACTGGTGACAACCCTAATGATGCAGGGACTCCTGCTCTTCTGTAACAATTGTGGGTTTCTTTATAGAGGAAAGCTGGCATCCCCATCAGATGCTCTTCTGTACCACTTCTTGGGGTTTTTCTGGCATCTTCTTTGTTGTTTCCCCCCCCATTCCTTTTTCTTTCTCTAAGGAATTTATTTGCCTCTCATTTTCTTTCATCTGATGCATCTGTCATTTCTCCATTTTAATGAAAGCCTGTCCTTACTGGTACTGGAAGGAGACCAGTCCAGCCTGGCTTACCTTAGCCTCGGGCTCTGCCTATGGCTTTGCGGAGTGCTGATTCCTCCCTGTGAGGAAGGCTGAGGTGGCTAGCGTTGCGTCTGGGCAAGAAATACCCATTTAATTTCTGGAATGTAGTATCTCTGCCTTCAGAGAAACTGTACAGTTGGGCTCAAAATCAAAATGAGCTTTTTGTCAAATGGCATGGTAATCACCTCAGACTGCCTGGGGGGCTTTTTATGTCTGTCCACTGCCAAATGCGTGTTGCAAAGTGAACAGACTAATGCGGTGCAGGTTTGAAAGTGTGGAGGGGACTGGCTTGTTCCAGCTTTCCTAAGCTTGACCTTCCACGCTGCAAATGATGGGAGCTAATGAAGACACTTGGCTGTGCCATACCAGGAGTGAGCATGTGCAGGGCTCTGCTGCCGGCTTCGTGCAGAGTGGTGCTCGCCAGCCTCTCCTGCTGCTCCCTGGCCGCCACTGGGCAGCGGCAGCACAAAACGTAGGAAGGAACAAAATCCCGTTTTCTCCTGGATTAACAAAGCAAGAAAATTGCCCCTTTCTCCCCTCCCTGCCCTTCCCAAACTAGAGGGGAAAAAACCTCCATTGCTCTCTCCATCCTCATTTCCCAGGAGGTCAAGGAGCGACATTTCTGTTGCACTTACTTCACAAATTTGGAAACAAGGCAAAAAGGGCCCATCCTGGCACCAGGTACTGTCTGGCATAAGCCTTAAGTGATTCAGTTCTGGTGAAACTCCATGACCAAACATTTCTGCATGCTGGGTGCTGTAGCATTAGCAGGTGTGCGAATGCTGGTTAATTTAAACCCATGGTGAATTTTATGAAAAACTGGGAATTTCTGTAGCAATACTGATTTGTCACAGAACTAGCTGGTCCATTAACTTTTGGCATTCTATAAAAAGATAAGTAGCCTGTATCTGTCATCTTAGAAGCATGATTTGACTCTGTACTCTCCTCTTTTAGAGAAGGCAAATAATGTGCCGAGTTTAAAAGCCTCCAGGCATGTATTTCTTCTGCAAGGTTTAAAAAATGTGTACGATAGTAGCCTCTTCAGGTGCACTTTTTTCCCCTTAAGAAAAGCTTTTTCCAGTTTTTCTGTTTCATAGTTCGTCCAGAGACAATTTAGTGAAGTAGCTGGTCTTTGTGCCGGTGATGGTTTTTGAGGAGTGCTAGGTTTGTCTCCCACCCGTCAGGAGCTGCAAACCCAAAGGGGGTGAGCATGGAGGCTGGAGCCTCCCCGGACTCCCCCTTGTGAGAGGAGCACGGAAGGACACGGGGCTGTGCGCAGGGAAACCCAAAATGAAGGGAGAACAGAGGGATGCTCGTTCACATGT